AGAAATGAATTTTAAATACTTCCCACAAACAAAGTTGTTTCTACCAATTTGCAAATTGAGACAATACTAACCCTAAATCACAGTAAGTAAAATTATATATCTCTAGTGCTTCGAAGTAAAAATAATGACAAATCATTTACCTGAATTCTCTTAAAAATTTTCTGGAAATTAACATCTTTATGAGGTGGTCAATTAAGTGTTCCAGAAATAAGAAAGGGGGGAGAGAAAGATTTTTTTAAACCAGGTATCCTTTCTGCATTTGAGTTTTTATCACTATATGTATTATCTATTACAAATAAATAAAATTTAAATTTACAAATTTCCTTGAGAATCATGTTCAGAAACTACATTGAAACTCCCTTTAATAAACAGCCTAAAACTAATAATAAAAAATACTGCGTATCCTTTACTCTTACAAAAATTGTAATTTCCCCAAATATACTTAAAACAGGTCATAAAACTGTTACCCAACTGGTTGGCTACTTTTCTTTCGCCACATGTGAATTTACAATATCAGCAATACAAGGTATATAATTCTTCTGCTGTCCCTTCTACCACAAATGGAAACACAGTATATAAAAGTATTTGCCAAAAGAAAAAAAATACTACCCTGCCCAGTGTGGCTCAGTTGATTGACCGGCATGTTTCCAAAGCAACAGGCTGCTATTTCCAACCCCAATCAGGGCACATGCCTGGGCTGTGGGTTTGTCCCCAGTAGGGGGCACCCATCAGAGGCAAAGACAGATGTTTCTCTCCCTTTCTGCCTTCCTTCCCCTCTCTAAAAATATATAAATAAAATCTTTAGAAAGAAAAAAATGCTAAAAAGCATAATCACCAGTCAAATCACCAAAATTTATCCGTACTACTTACCTGTTAACAGTTGTCCAAAGTGTGGTTCCCATACCATTGATGTGAATGGTGCTTTTACCCAAATGTGAAATATTTTAATACTTACGAATATATTTTTAACACGTAGTTTACCATACTGAACACAGAGTTTACGACCTCAGAAATACCACTGCCTAGAATGAGGATAAGTCTACTTAAGTTAAATCGTGCACCTGTCTGAAAAATAAGAGTGCCCATGTGTGAGTGAAGCTTGAGAAGCACCAGTGCATTATTCAAATTAGATCAAGGGCTGAGAATGATCAAAGAGCATCGACCATACTGAATCTTAAATTAGACGAAACTTCAGGCTTACAAGGAAACTCTCATTAAAAGGCTGATGCAACTAAATGACAACAGTGCTCTCCTGTTCCCTCAGATTGGGGAAATTAAGATAACCTAAAGTTTAATCAAAATGATTAAGGATAAGTAAGAATCAGGCAGGGCTAAGTGGATTGAGTATAGGCTAAAGGATCTCTGGTTCGATTACCAGTCAGGGCACATGCCTGAGTTGCAGGCCAGGTCCCTGATGGTGATGCATGATCAGGGGACGCATGAGAGGCAACCACACATTGATGTTTCTCTCCCTCTCTTTCTCTTTCCCTTCTCTTCTCTCTAAAAAATAAATAAATAAATAAATAAAATCTTAAAAGTTAAAAAAAACAGAGAACTTCTGGCAAAAATGGAGGCATAGGGGGCATAGGTAGACACACTGTGCCACCTCGCACAACCAAAATTAAGGACAACAAAAATTTAGAAACAAAAAACCAGCCAAAACTGACAGAAAATTGATCTGTACGGATGTCCGACAACCATTCATCCAGACGCGTAAGAGGGGTGTAGTCCGCAGCCAGCAAAGAGGGGTCTCAGCAGGAAAAAGCGGTGGCTGGCAACTCCCAAAAGCAGGCTGCAGTTGGCAGACCCTAGATGTGCAGGCAGCAGCTAGCAGACCCTGGGCGCAGGGTGGCAACGAGCAGACCCAGTGAGGCATGCAAGGTGGCTGGCTGACCGTGGTCCCACATTCACACACAGATAAACCAGGCAAAAACGGGCAGCAAGACAGACCCCGCAACCCAGGGCCCCAGCACTGGGAAATAAAGCCTAAAAGCACCGATTAAAAACACTTGTGGAGGTGAAGGTGCCGGGAGAGACTCCCAGCCTCACAGGAGAGTTCATTGGAGAGACCCACAGGGTCCTAGAATGTACAAAAGCCCACCCACTTGGGAACCAGCACCAGAAGGGCCCAATTTGCTTGTGGGAAGCAGCAGAAGGGACTGAAATCCAAGAGAGCTTGGAGCAAATGCCATTGTTCCCTCTCTGACCCCGCCCCCACATACAGCATCAGAACTCAGCCACAGGAGGGGGGGTTGCCCGGCCCTGGTGAACACCTAAGGCTGTCCCTCACTACCGTACCTAACAGGCGCAACCAGACCCCCCAAAATGGCTCAAAAGGAAGAACAGGTCAAGGCCCCAGAGCCAAAACATCTAAGCAACCAAGAGATAGCCAACCTATCAGATGCACAGTTTTAAACACTGGTAATCAGGATGCTCACGGAAATGGCTGAGTATGGTCACAAAATAGAGGAAAAAGTGAAGGCTATGCAAAGTGAAATAAAGAAAAATATACAGGGAACCAACAGTGAAGGGAAGGAAATTGGGACTTAAATCAACGATTTATAGCAGAAGGAAGAAAAAAAACGTTCAACCAGACAGAATGAAGAAACAAGAATTCAAAAAAAATGAGGAGGAGAGGCTTAGGTACCTCCATGACATCTTTAAACGCTCCAACATCCAAATTATAGGCGTAGCAGAAGGGGAAGAGGAAGAGCAACAAGTGGAAAACTTATTTGAACAAATACTAAAGGAGAACTTCCCCAATCTGGCAAAGAAAATAGACTTTCAGGAAGTCCAGGAAGCTCAGAGGGTCCCAAAGAAGTTGGACCCAAGAGGGACATCATAATTACATTAGCCAAGAATAAAACAAAGGAGAGAATTCTAAAAGCAGCAAGAGATAAGGAGACAGTCACCTACAAAGGAGTTCCCATCAGACTGTCAGCTGATTTCTCAAAAGAGACTTTACAGGCAAGAAGGGGCTGGAAAGAAATATTCCAAGTCATGAAATCCAAAGACCTACATCCAAGATTGGTCTATCCAGCAAAGCTTTCATTTAGAATGGAAGGGCAAATAAAGTGCTTCTCAGATGAGGTCAAGTTCAAGGAGTTCATCATCACCAAGCCCTTATTATATGAAATGTTAAAGGGACTTACCTAAGAAAAAGAAGACAAAAAAGATGAACAGTGAAAGGACAACAAACTCACAGTTATTAACAACCACACCTAAAACAAAAGCAAACTAAGCAGACACCTAAAGCAGGAGTGGAGACACAGAAATGGAGGTCACATGGAGGGTTAGCAACAGGGGAGTGGGAGGAGGGGAGAGAGGGAGAAGGTACAGAGAATAGCATAGACAGTGGGGAGAAATATAGACAGGGGGAGGGCAAGAACACTGTGGGAAATGTAGAGGCTAAAGAACTTATGACCCATGGACATGAACTAAAGGGGGGGAATGTGGGTGGGAGGGGGTGTGCAGGGTAGAGGGGAATGAAGAGGGGGAATGGGACAAATGTAATATCAAAGTCAATACATTTTTTTAAAAAAAGAATCAGGGCTCAGTACAATCCCTGAACTTCTGGAGAATTAAGTTGAAAACTGATACTCCATTTCCAGGTCAGCACCATCTATGCATATTCAGTCACCAGTGAACATTAAGCTCCTGACTCTATCTTCATCAGCCCTTCGCTCTCACTCTCTCTCATATCCAAAACCACATTCACCAGAGCCTCCCCGGGACTGCCAGCCCACTTCACCTCCACTCCCCTTCACAGGCAACCATCTAGGTCTGCTCATTCTTCCATATTAATATTTTAACTCCTACCCCAACTATCGCTGCAGGTCTGCTTCTTCCTGGGAGTTCAAAAGTGACTGTGGAGTCCAGAATGAGATGCTGTTGTAAGACTCCCTTACTACTGGGACTAACACTCCCAACGGAAAGCCAACTGGGAAAGGAAGGTGTAGAATAAAGGCGAGGAAGAGAGAAGCTCCACTAGCCACACTACCCTCATCGCCACGCACACCTCCCAAACCTTCTCCAATCTTCCCTAGGTTGAAAAGCTCCCTCCCCCCCCAACCTATTCAATAAAGTCTTTTACTTCTTGATCAGAAGGAATTATCACTGAGACTATTTTAATATAAGGATAGCAGATCTTTAATGTTACTTAAAAAAACAAAAACAAAAACTCTTCCCAACCAGCTACCACAAGTTAACTTTGGCACACTGTGTGCCCCTCCAGGGCCTAGGGCAATACTGAAAACACCTAGGTAAAATATCTTCCATAGAAATTCTGCCTTCTAAAAGGAGAACAAGTAAAAACTTGATCAATGAAGGCCAAATACTAAAAACCTGTTCCACAATTTGCTCCAGAAAGAATTATTGCCTGTTCTTCCCCAGTTTCATCAGAGGCAACACTAGGAGAGCTGACCAGTTTGATTCAGCTAATTGCCTAGGAATCTTGTCAGCGCTGCTGCGGAGTTGAAGGGCCACTTCCACACAACAATTCTGAAGTTGCAGGAGACACAGTTGTGTTAACCCACAGCTAAAAATAACACTCGCCTTTCTAATTATATAAAAAAAAAAAAAGTAAGTAAGAAGAAAGTGAGTACTCAGCCAAGGATTTGGAGCAGGGGTGCCCCTCGGGTACAACGCAATCGCGGGGACCACGGGAGACCGCCCCCGAGAGGAGCGAGGGGCACCCAGCCGAGAGGGCCACGGTGTGCAGGTGCGGTGAACCGATCACCACGCACGCTTAATAGGGCTGGAGCATCAGGCTCCGGGACGGGTTTCAGGGTGGGTTCGCACTCACTCTTCATTAACAACGAGGTCGGACGGGTTAGAGACTAATTGTACGAGATGAGGAAAAAAGTACAGAGGTCTGACTCCGCACGTCGCGAGGGAGGGGGCAGGAAACAGCACTCCGAGGGTACCCCTCCCGGCCCGCCCTGGCCTGAGGAGCGCGGGCGAGTGGGCCGGGCCCCGCGCGCCCACCCGGGCCGCCCTACCGTGGCTCTGCAGGATCTCGTGCTTGAGGCCGCCAGTGTAGTCAATGAGCTCCTCCAGGCCGCGCTCACACAGCTGCCCGTAGCCCGAGAACTTGTGCAGCACCTTCTCCAGCTCGCGCTCCACCGTCACGCACTGATCCATTTCGGAGGCGGCGGCGGCGCTCGGCGTCCCGGCGCCCGGGTGTCCGCAGACGTTCGGGCCGGGCCCGGCCGAGGCCGCGTCCTCCTCCTTGTCCCCCAGGCGGGCGGCGGGAGCTGCTGAGGCGGCGGGCACTCTACCCCCGGCGCCGGGGAAACCCCGCACTGCCCGTGCCTGCTTGCCCCATGGCGCACGGCCTCAGACGCGTCGCAGACGCCCCGTCTTTCTGCCCCACCCGACCCTGCGTCTCTGGTCCCCGCTGGCCGCGTTCGGATACGCGCGGCAGCACCGCCGACTGTTTTGTTTTCAAGGGAACCGGCCGATGACCTGGTTCTCCAGGGCGGCACCGTGAGCCGCCGACCCGAGATATGGGGGGGGGGGGGGGGGGTTAGCCACCCTAGCTTGGGGAGAAGGCGGCGCGGGCCGTACCAACAGCACAAGCGAGGGGGAGCAGCCCGACGAGCGCGGGCGGAGGAACGCGACCAGCTGCCGCCCGCGCTCCCGCTCTAAAGGTGAGGGCCGAACCACGCGGAAGGCGTGCAAGTGAGAGGTCGAGGGTGGAGCAAGGACCCAATTGGTCCGAGAAGCTAAATACGGAACTTGGGAGACAGCCCCGGAGCTCTGAGAGCACTACAACTACGCGCTTCGTAAACAAGAGGGTGGAAACCGTACCTACCCACTCCGCCCAGAAACTGGGAGAACTAACCAATTGCGGCGAGGAATACGTGAGGGACCAACGTCCTCCAACCCCTGGCCTAGGTGTAAACCTCCAGCCAATCCGGGTCTAGAGGCCAAACCAATAGTCTCCCTGTTGGAGGGGGTGACTTCGAGAGCTTAACGAAAAGTCATTTGTGGAAAACCATGAGATAAAAAAGGACAGAAATCAAAAAGTCTAGTTTCCATAGGACTTTTCCCTGGCCATAAATTATATCATCTCTCTGTCTCTCCAAAGTACGGTCATTCCGAAGTCGAACTCGCCGCCGAGGTCGAAAAGCCCAGGCAGGCCCGGCGCCTCGGAGAATTAAAGGCGGGGTGGTACTCGGATCGGTGACGAAAGATACTTGCTGGCTGAGCGGTCGTCGCGCCAGGGAACGCTCGGCGCGGCCGACAGAGCTACCCTGATGCCTGCGACACGACTAGGGTACATCCTGCACCCCCAAACTCCGCGCAGGCCTGTGCCCTTTGTCTCTGGTCCGGGAACCTTTCCTGACCGGTTGCTTCTCACCTCTGCCACGTACAGGCAGCTTCACGGAATGGAAATTGGTCCGAGAGCCGGGAAGCCGAGCTAGTCCCTGCCTCTTAGGCGCCTTATTCCACTGAATCGGAACGACTTGCCCCCGTTTATGTAACCCCTTCCCCTGATTTGGTGGTTTCTCCAGCCTGGCCTATATCTCTTGCTCACAAAGCTTCATTCAGCTGCACAAACCTTAGCATTGCTTAGGTGCCTTGGGGGCTCTGCGCACCTAACCTTTTTCTTGGCCTATAAAACTTCCACCTTTTCCCTCCTAAAGTTCTCAACTCACTTGTCCCCTCAGAGGGTCCACCCCTGACCACACTGATATGGCTTCTACCTTCCAGCAACACCCTCCTCCGTTGCTGTATCATATTTATTATATCAATTATATCACTAGTTTTATTATTTTCTCAGCGCTTATTAAATCTGAAGTGATCTGATTCATTTACTTGCTTGCTTTGTTTTTTCCTGTCTGTACCCCATCCATAAAAGCTCCATGAAGGCTGGCTGTATTGTTCTGTGCCCAGAACAGAGCCTGGCAGCATAATAGGCAATCTCTTTTTAATTACAACAAAAACTTTTTTTATCTCCATTTTCCTTTTTTATAATTGGAACTATTAGTACTTCATTAGAGTCTTAGAAAAATTGAGATAATATACGTAAATGCCCATAATAAGCACATGATAGCGACCTGATAGATGGTGGTGGTTGTTATTATTGTAACCTCCCATTTAGCCTTAGGTGGATATTTCTTTCCCCAGGTTATATCCTCAACCTTCTCTTTTCCTTTTATCTACTGGACTGGGAGAAAACATTATAATTGCCCCCTCCAGCCCTGATTTGCCTCATAAATTCTAAATGCACATCCCCCCCCCAACCAGTAAGACATCATCTTCCAGAGGACTTTTTTCCTCCCATCAACATGCCAAAAGCACTATTTATATTTCTTTTCCCAAACCAACTTTCCTTGACTCCTCAGTTTTTGTCAGCATTACCTGAACTCTTTCAGGTCCTTCTGCCCCTTCCCCATCCTCATCTCTAACTTACCTGTAGGATTCTTGAAAACCTTTTCTCTCTCAGATTCCTTGATTTCACTGAACTATTCCCACTGCCACTGATCTACATATTTCCCAAGATACTTTTGCTAAGTCAACTGCCTTAGCAAAACCCCAGAATCATTGGTGTTCTGCAGGATTTTGTCCTTATCAGTATCCCTAAAGATAAAGATGGTCTCACTCCCCTTTTCATTCACCTTCCCCATATAGTCAGGTATCAAGTTTTATTGAGTCTAACTTCCTAACATCTTAAGTGGGGCTTTTTAATTTCTACATTTCACCTTCATTAGTACCTTTGACAAGTTTCCAACATTATAAGTGCTTCACTTATGTGCTTCTCTTACCCTCACAGGGCCACCAAAAGAATCTTTATTTCCCCCAAAAGGTTGTTATAATAATTAAATGAGATAATCCATGTAAGGCATTCAGCATAATTCCTGGCACAAAATGAGAACTATCTGCTGATCAGAAATCTGCTGATTATACAAATACTAAATCATTACACTGTACTCACGAAACTGTTATAATGTTATACATCAATATACCTCAATTCAAAATAAAAGGAAATAACCAATGACTCCCTATTACCTACAGCTTCAAATCCTAACTCTCAAATGCATGATCTACACAGTGTAGCTAGCCATCATGTAACAGGATGCAGCCAAGAGGGGGTCCCCCAAAAAGGGGGATTTGGAATGGGGTCCAGAACTCAAGATGTCCAGGAAATATTAAGATGTCCTCACCCCTTCCTCCCCACAGGTGTGAGCTGGAGGAGGGACAGATGGAACAGGGCCATTAAGAGCTGTTTTGTACAGCAAAGGCTTTGCAGCTAACCTCTGGCATGGTCATTTAACATATCTATAACCTTTAACTGGTTACATAGATATGTTAAATAGCTATGGCCCTGTTCTGAACCAGGGGGATGGAAGTGACTTTCACCTAAGACTTAACTTTTCACCCCCTGAGTTACAGCGCCTGCGTACGAGCTTGGAGCTGATTGGTTCCACACCATGGGGCCACACCTGCCCAGACTCAACTATGGCAGCCCGGTAAAGCTGAAAGGATATGGGAGTGCCAGCAAATGTAGCCGATTGTAGGAGGAGTCGGAAATGGGGCTGCAAAGGAGGACTGGTGTGGGTTTTTAAACCCAGATTCAGCAGCAATTAAAGGAAAGGGAACCATGAGGCTGTGGCAGTGGAAAGAGCCACGTGGCTCTGCCAGAGTGGGGATTCCCCAGAGCCATGTAAGAAGAGAGAAAGCCACACTTCTGGCAGAGTGGGGACCCCCGCGGCCATGTGAGAGAGAGGGAACCACGTGGCTGTGGCAGTGCAGAGAGGGAGCCACGCACTTTTGGACAGAGTGGGAACCCCCGCAGCTGGGGGTAGAGAGAATCACCATTTGGCTTTGCCAGAGTGGCAACCCTACCCTCTCCGTAGCTCTGGTGGAAGAAAGAACCATGCAGTTTTGGCCAGAGTGCAGACCTCTGCAGCTCTGGTAGAAGATGACCACACGGCTTTGGGGTGCTCCCTTTGGCCACGTGGCCTGGGAAGCAGGAGAGACTTTGCCTGGAAAAAGGGTGAAAGAACTCTTTGCCAGTAGACCATGAGAAGGTGCCACATGGCTTTGGAGTAATTAGAGATCCTGCCTGGACCTCGACACAGCTGATGGTGCCGGCAGCCTGAAACACGGATGTGTGCTCTTTTCCTGAGTTACGGTACCCTGAATTAGGGCAAGGGGGAAGGAAGCACTGTGGGCGTCTGTGGGTATCCTAAAGGACTTTGATATTTTAATGGGGACATTGGGTCACTACTTTAAGTCTGTATAGCTTTAAATAAACCTTTCCTTTCCTTTTCACAAATCTCTGGCATTGAGAAACGTCTTTCCTCTGGCAGCAGACAGACGAGCCCAGTAGGTGGTCCGGACAGTATAAGTATTCCGGAGTCTGGGCTCCTGTGTGTCTGTTCTGTAATGATCACAACCCCTCATCCAAACACTGGGTACTTTCACACACTCACATCCAAACACTTTCAGAATTGAGCACAACTCATTATGCTTTTTCTTCTCCTTGAATGCTTTTCTTTATTAGTTATTCAAATCCTCCTCTTCCTTAAAGTAACAGGACAACACCTCCTTTAACTTTAATACCATCCAGAGTTTGGCCTGCACTCTTGAATATGATAACTACCAACTATACAAGGAGGGGACATAAAAAAAACATGGAATCATTTTCTGGAGGGTGGGCCCTTGTAGAACAAGCTTCCCCTGTTAGGTGAGTGTTCTAGGAGCCCATCTGTATCAGTGTACCAGATGGCATTGTTCTGAGAGACTGCATTTGGCTTCAGAATTTTTACTTGGAAGACTGTTTCAGCGCATTTGCCCATTTCATGATGGCTGATTCATGAGCACACAGGCCCAACCATGCTGAGTGTTCAGCAGTTTTTGACCCAGATGGCATGAACCCTTCTGCCCCACCCTCCCTATTCACCTAATCTTGTCCCAAGCAACATTTTTTTTTTGTTTCCCTGAATGAAAAAAAGTCCTCGTAGGGAAACATTTTGCCCAAGTGGAAGAGGCGAAACAAAAACACTACAGAATTACTAAAAGGCATCAAAATTGATGAGTTCAATAACTGTTCTGAGCAGTGGAAAAATGTCTCGGTAGGTATATTGCATCAAATGGAAAGCACTTTGAAGGTGACTGAAGTTTAAACATGTAAGAATAAAAACACAATTTTTAATAAATTCATTCTGTTTTTGTGGATCCCCCTCATGTATAGCCATTTAAATTAAATTAAAAATTAATTTCTTCAATCACACTAACCATACTTTAAGTACTTAGTAACCACATATGGCTAGTGGCTACTGTGCTAATCAGCACAGAAGGAACATTTCCATCACTGTAAAAAGTTCTGTTAAGAGGTGCTGCCCTGGCTGGTGTAGCTCAGAGGATTGAGTGCGGGCCTGTGAACCAGAGGATTGCGGCTCGATTCCCAGTCAGGGCACGTGCCTGGGTTACAGGCCAGTTCCCAGCAGGGGACCCACAAGAGGCAACCATATATTGATATTCTCCCCCTCTCTCCTTCCCTTCCCCTCTAAAGATAAATAAATAAAATCTTTTAAAAAAAGAAAGAAAAGAGGTGTTGATCTAAACGATTACCACACAGTATAAACTAACCAGCCACTCCTTAAACTGCTTATAGGATTTCTCTGT